TATCGGAACCAGACACCCCTCTGTTTGACCCCTTTTGAATGCTAAGACCCAAAACTGCAACCGCCCCATTCCTTAACAACATGGTAATTACCATTTTCAGCATGGCGGGGGTGTCCGGAGCACTTAAAAACCTTTTATTTCGACGCCCATAAACACATATGCAATTAAACAAAAACGTTCTGCATCATCTGCAGCCCAATAGCAATACGTATACCGAACCACAGACAAATCCGTCCAGCCGATCGCGAGAAACAGCTGCTGACAGAAATGTTTCGAACCATAGTAAAACCTCCTCGCGGAAGGATATCTCCTTCCCCGGAGGTAATAAACTTCATCCATACCATGGTATGGAGTGAAATATAACTCTTGAATGATGATCTCCACCTAATACACTCAGCAGTCTGTCAATCTGTTTTACAAAAGACTTCTCATTCAATTCTAATAGTTCTGGGGATAGATTAAGGCCATACCAAATCTATTTGTTGCTTCAAGCTCCTTAGTTGTAGCCTGGAATCCATCCGTGAACGCTGTGTCTTCGCTCTGTTCCTCCGCTCTGCCTCCAAAGACAGTCAGAGCAAAGGAACGGAGCAGAGACAAAGCGTTCACGGATGGATTCCAGGCTACCTTACGTAGTTGCTTCACCGCTTCAATTTTTTTCATTTGGTCTCCTGGCTAATATGGTGGAACAATTCAGATGACTGGGTACAAGATAGATTAAAAATCACTGCATCACTGCATCAAAGTAAGAAACAAAACATTCAATAAGAGCCTTTTCTTGTCTCCTCTCTGCTATCCACCTTCCGGCATGGCAACAGACATCTTTGCCCATTTTTGGCAAGAGAGATTTAAACATCACTTTGAACCTGACAACCTCTGTACATGGTCCACTGCGTGCAAGTGCGCGTCTTGTCAGGATTTGAGGGTTCGGTAGTCTGTCTATATTAAGCTTTTTTATTATGTATATGTATTTGTATGCTGGATAGATATAGAGTCTATTGTATTTGTATGCTGTATCGGGACGAGGGCTGGTAAAGGTGTTACACCTGTTCCCCCGTCCCTTTCACTGTTGTGATGAATTTTAATAAATAAATAAATAAGGCTGTATGATGCATGTCCGCAACGTTTGTGTTCAACATATCAGATGAGGCAGCACTCAAAGAATTTTATGAAGGACAGGAAGCTGACCAACGCTTAGCCGACCAATTCTGTCAATATACTTACATTTTATAAAGTTGCAGTCCTTATGATACACTGCGGAGGAGGGTTGCTAAATTTGTTACGTTGCTAAGTCCAATAGGCTAAAAGATAAAGGCGTATGACCTGCCTTATTAATTCCTTGGTGTGTATGGTGTCATAAGGTCTGGTCATTTACTATTATAATTATATTATAGCTTTGCTTACTCTGCAGTTTAAGAGGTAGTTAGGCCACAGCAAGTAAATTTTATGGATGACATCTTCCAAATCCAATGCGAGCGGGCGAAAAAAAAACAAGGCGGGCCGACAAAAACAAGGTTCCTACATTTTAAAATTTTGACTCAATCATTGTACAAATGTTTTTTTTATTCAGTGGGAACATCACATATATACAGCCAGCATCACATATCACTGCATCAAAGTAAGAAACAAAACATTCAATAAGAGCCTTTTCTTGTCTCCTCTCTGCTATCCACCTTCCGGCATGGCAACAGACATCTTTGCCCATTTTTGGCATGTTGAGCACTGTCAGAAGGCAACAAAATCTCAAAATCAGGTGAAATTAATGCGCGCGCTGATGTCATCCATAAAAATTACTTGATGTGGCCTTATGCATGGGAAATAAAAGACCCTGAGGCCATATGACACCATGTACACCTTGGGGTGGGTCATTAACCATTAATTGACTAGTACACATGTTTACCTCCTGGCCTCCTTGAGAGACCTGGCCGTGAGAAAACGCTGGACGGATGTCTGACTGATGGCATAGATGGGCAGGGTGTTGAAAGCTCCTCCGAATATCAGCGACCAGAAGGACAAACGCTTGGTGGGATCAACTGAAAAACTGGACAAACAAACGGCCAACATTATTGATACAGAAATATGATGAACTCCACTTGCTAAAACAAATGATTAGTATCGACAGATTTAATTCTGACAATAATTTGAAGCTTGCTCTCTAAAGGAGAACTTGGTACTTTTAAAGTCTGAATAGAGTATCTAGAAAAATGCTAGGGGGCCCAAAAAAATCTGATTCAAAATCTTATGTTTTTCCTTTATACTGTTTTCATGTTGACATAAAATCCAACTATATTTGATGGCACTAGTTTGTCAAAAACAAGAAAAAAGTGGAATTACTTTTGGTATGCACTCCTTTACACATCAAATGTACATACCTAGGGTAGGGTAGGTAAAATATCTTTAAGCACACTATTTCTCAAGATGGCGATATTATGGACCCTGGTGATATTATGGACACAGATGTTAACACAAATTGTAGACTATTGCAAATGGTATCATGTTTCAATTAACATGAACTATAACTAGAGAAGTAACATTTGCAAAGCAAATGCATAATGTTTACCTTCGGACATGGTCTGCCCTATTAATTTTTACTCAAACAAGTTCACATACATGTACTACTAGTATATGGTCACAGGAGCAGAGCAGACCATGAAGTTTGCAACATTATGTAACCCAACACCAGTCACCATGGTGACAGACGTCAACAAATCATGTCATTGGCCAGGACAGAGGTTAGTGTTTGGAGAAGAGGAAGAGGAAATTGAGTAAAAACAATATGTTTTCCTTCGGTAAACATAATTAGTATCAACTTTGACTGCACCACACATATGAAATAAAGAACTCACTCAAAAAAGTTGAGGTGGGAGTGATTAGCGTTGATTTCCCAGACACGCCCAATGCCACCTGCTCTCACTGTTCCCATGACAACGATGGTTACCAAGGAGACAAACAGTACACAGAAGTTGAAGACGTCAGTGTAGATCACAGCCTTCATTCCTCCCTGCATGTATTTGGGCAAATTTTGTCCCCATCTTCATTGGTCCATAAACAGCCACATCATGGTGATACATAAACTGCTGTAACTTGATCATCAAAATCAAGTTTGAGTATTACTTGGGAATAGATACTGTTACAAATCTGATGATAGAAAAATCATGATCATAGCTTTTACCAATTATTATGATGATCACAATGCATCCAGAAGTTGAGATATCAAATCTAGAAGTTCTACTGTAACAGTAACTGTAGCAGTAATACATGCTACCGAATATTGTATGTAGGATAAACTCTAAATTCTTCTCGTACAAGAACAGATGCTAGACTATACAGATAACTGGTGTGTGCATCAATAATCATCATAACTATTATAAAAATCATAAACTATACATACCAAGGATGTGTACAGAGTTGTAATGGTTCCCGCAAGTACTACTGTCTTCCACACCTCAAATTTTGTAGCTGGAACAAAGAAACGAAGCTTATGTTACAGAGGCAAGTAGAACATAATAAAAACTTGTAATGTTGCCTGAATCGACACCAATCTATCTGAAGTGTGCTAACCTGAGGGATTACCAGTGCTGCTTTTTAAGTACATGTAGATCTCTATGAATTTAGTGTCAGTCTTAGGATACATGGCAGAATTATAAAATTGATTTTACAGAAAGTTTAATGCAAATACATGCCCGAGGGCTAATTGCAGTTACAAACAACGTAAGAAAGAAAATACAGTGGTATGTGAGACTATATCTACGTCTAGCATTATTATAATAATACTATATTCTACAACATACACGGTACTAGCTCTAGTTTTGCGGGGTTTGACTTCTTCTTGTTAGGCAATGGAAGACGAATTTTCCCACTTCTTCTATAATATGTGGGTTCTTTGATTTTGATTTTCGTGGTAGGGAATGGCGGGGAAGTAAGGGAGCATTTTGGACACGGTGGTAAATAATTGTTTTCCGATGTCGTCATAAAATGGACAATGAGAGATGAAATGAATTTCGTCTTCCACTGCATTTGAGTATTAAATTTCGGTACACTAGTACTGTTTCCTGACCTGCTTCCAAAGCCAGTGCAGGTGCGTACAGGATGACAGCGATGTAGAAGGTGTTCTGTAGGATGAAGAGACAGGCAGCCACCACCCGTAGGGACATGGAGAACCTCTGCTCCAGGTACTGGAAGGTGAAGTAAGTCACATTGTCAGGGGTCGGCATTGGGGTCAATGGTAAGAAGACAATATCACTCTTACCATCAACAAAATGGTGAAGTCCCTGTCCTCACACAAAGAGAATCACACACACACACACACACACCCCCGCAACAACCAGCCCAGCAACCAATGTTCTGATGTTCAGGAGCAGTATGACCATATTTACAGTTGTAGGCCAAGACTACCATACAGTGCCTTTTGATATGATTGACATCAAATTTGAGTTAAATTTGAGTCAAATTTGACGTCTAGGCCTGCCTCCTCCCCTGGCTCAATCCCCCGCCACTTGTAGATGTTATAAACATTTATAAACATTCATCTGGCGCAGTTGAATGGTTGGGAGTAGTTTGCCAGTGTTCAGGAGGCCTTATCCGGCTATGTGTGACAGGGCCTTTAGGCCACACCAAGTAAATTTTGAAGAACCTTTGGAGAACCTAAATCTAATGTGAGAGGGCGAAAAAAACAAGAAGGGCCCTAAAAACAAGATGCCTAGATTAGAAATACTAGTATACTAAGAGACGACAAATGTTAGGACACAAATTGAATGAGGTGACACAGTGTAACAAGCAAGCTTAAGTCTTTTAGTCATCATCAAAACAGCAATAAATCAGGTGGAACAGCAGTTGTCGTCCTGTCCTGTTTTGCGGCAAATGTGCTCTTTACCCATTTGGCGTTACGGGTTTCATGTCAATCTGACGATTTGCGGCGCTGATGTGACTCTTTGGTCATAGTTACAGCATGGTTACAGGAAGCGGAATTTCTTGTGTTTTTTTCTGGGAACAGGCCAAAATCAATGCGCGTGTAGACGTCATCCATAAAATTTACTTGGTGTGGCCTTACTTGTAAAAACTTAAACCTGTATAAACTACTTTCATAAGAACCCTCTTCCCGTTATTTCAAGGAGACACCCGTAAGATTACTTAACTACCTGGATCCCCTGGGGATACATTAATACACCTGATTTTTTTCACCAGTTCTTGTGCACATATTTTCAAATAAAATGATTCTCGTGATACAACAAGTACGGTACGTTGCATCTAACTTGATATTAAATAAATTGTGGTTCGTTCAAGTCATGGTTGTAGCTCAACAATTAACGAAGGTTTTTAGTGTAGTGACTAATTTTTTGCTGATTTTTTTCCATATGATATATATGTTATAAAGGCAATATAAGTTCAATAGCAAAGTTCTTTTTATCACAACCATTTATTTTTCAAGCCGACGTTTCGATGACCGTCTGTCATCTTCATCAGGGCAATTCTGACTGGGTTACTGTGCACTGACACTAGGTGTTACTTGGTTCCGGAATGTATTGTAAACAGAAAAAAACTAGCTTAAGTGCACTATGAACTATGTAACACCTTTAGTGCACTATGCACCAAGTAACGCCTAGTGTCAGTGCACAGTAAACCAGTCAGAATTGCCCTGATGAAGATGACAGAAGGTCATCGAAACGTCGACTTGAAAAATAAATGGTTGTGATAAAAAGAACTTTGCTATTCAGTCGTTTACCAACCTGATGAAATTATTTACGGGGGCAATATAAGTTGTTTTGAATAAGTAATAACAGCACAGACCTCGTATGCAGTTGTCACTCCCAAACCATGGAACACAGGGATGAAGAAGACAGCAGTGACTGGGATGGTGATGAAGAAGGACAGATCAATGATCCAGTATTGCACGCCATGGACGAAGATCTCTGATGGCTCGCCTAGTATGGAGACTGCTGACATGAACGATGCCAGCAATGAGATGGCCACAGGTAGGCTAAACATGCTGCGGTCAGCCATCAGGTACCTAGGGTGTACCACAAGGAAGAATATTAGGACCAATATACATGTGCAAATGTAGACAATTTCACAATAATTTATAACTCAGGCATAAAGAAGCCTGGTACTGAGAATATTGGCCACAGGTTGGCTAAACATGCTGCCATCAGCTGCAGGTACCTAGGGTGTACCACAAGGAATAATATTAGGACCAACATACATTTGTAAATGTGTTCACAATAATTTAGAACTCAGACATAAAGACGCCCGGTACTGAGAATATTGGCCACAGGTAGGCTAAACATGCTGCGGTCAGCCATCAGGTACCTAGGGTGTACCACAAGGAAGAATATTAGGACCAACATACATGTGCAAATGTAGACAATTTCACAATAATTTAGAACTCAGACATAAAGAAGCCTGGTACTGAGAATATTGGCCACAGGTAGGCTAAACATGCTGCGGTCAGCCATCAGGTACCTAGGGTGTACCACAAGGAAGAATATTAGGACCAACATACATGTGCAAATGTATACAATTTCACAATAATTTATAACTCGGACATAAAGAAGCCTGGTACTGAGAATATTGGTCACAGGTAGGCTAAACATGCTGCGGTCAGCCATCAGGTACCTAGGGTGTACCACAAGGAAGAATATTAGGACCAACATACATGTGCAAATGTAGACAATTTCACAATAATTTAGAACTCAGACATAAAGACGCCCGGTACTGAGAATATTGGCCACAGGTTGGCTAACATGCTGCGGTCAGCCATCAGGGTGAACCACGAGGAAGAATATTAGGATGAAAATAAACCTATTAAAGAAATTTGAAGATATAACAAATGAATAGGTTTAACATGCTGATGTCAGCTATCAGGTACCAAGAGTGGCTACCATGAGGCAGTATGGTGAGACCAATAAGGAAATCTATAATCTAGCCAGACGAGCATTGTAGCAACAATTCAGTGTAACAACAGGCTATAGCTACATGTGATACTTAAAGCTTGACATAAAATATTCGAAAATACCTGGCAGTAGTCTTCTGACCTCCCCCTGCAAATGCATGGTAGAGTCCAGTGGCAGCAGTGATGGCCAACATCCCTCCAAAGATGACATAGTCCACAGCTCCAAAGTTGTGTAAGTTCTCCTCAGAAACAGTCATATTTGCACCAGGTCCTAGTATACAGTGCAGCTTGTTCTGTGAATGTATTGGATGTGACTGATCCAATTGCAAATCCTCGCTATGATCAATAGAATAATTTGAGGTTCCACCTGTGCACTTTGAACCTTAGATTTACTTGGTACACAGCTTCTCAGCATTTCTAAATTTAAGTTTTACACAAATTACACCAAAACTGCGACATTATAAACCCTTATTCTAGAGCAGGGACCACACACCCTTAAACTTAAGCTTATGCAGTGCCAAATCATATATTGTGAATATAGTGCCCAGTGGGGCAAAAATGTACAATAAAGGTCTTCATTCATTCAATAAAAACGCGAATTCAAGGCATGCCAAAAGATTACTGCTAAGACCATTCAAATATTTCTATTTTGTATTAAATTCAAAACTAAGAACTGAATATTATATCATTCAAGCTGTAAGTCTAATCTATCTACCGGTAGCATGAAATATTGGCATACTCAACCCACACACCATTCAGCATGCCAATTGCAGTAGGTTAAAGTTCAGTACACCAAAACTAAGCAGGGATCAAAGTTCATGCATTGCATAAACATGTAATAACCTTTACTATTTACTATAGATAACAAAGCTTTTACATCAAGCCATTGTTTAATTTTCACTGCACACTGCCATGCTAAGTTAAGTTAATGCATTATATTTTGTCATATTTCTAAGATTAAAAGCAGTTTTCTTGAAAAGTCTCAATCATGCAAATTGATCTATTCACTGATACCTATTATTAAAATACTAAAGTAGGTAACTGTGAAAAGATCAATTTTATTATCAGTTTAGGCCACACCAAGTAAATTTTATGGATGACGTCCGCGCGCGCGTTGATTTTGGTCTGTTCCTAGAAAAAAATCAAGAAATTCCGCTTCCTGTAACTATGACCAAATAGTCACGACAGTGCCGCAAATCGTCAAATTGACGTGAAACCCGTAACGCGAAAACAGGACAGGACGACAACTGCTGTTCCACCTGATTTATTGCTGTTTTGATGATGAATAAAAGACTTCTTGCTTGTTACACTGTGTCACCTCATTCCATTTGTGTCCTAACATTTGTCGTCTCTTAGTATATTTCTAATCTAGGCATCTTGTTTTTAGGGCCCTTCTTGTTTTTTTTCGCCCTCTCGCATTAGATTTAGGATCTCCAAAGGACGTCATCCATAAAATTTAATTGGTGTGGCCTTACCAAAAAAAACAAGACAGCTCTCTCCCAAGGGTTAGACGTACTTGCATACCGATGCTGAGGCTTGATGACAGCAGTTATCCTGTGGATTCACGCTGTGTATAAGTTAAATAGTGGAAGTCCTCCCTTACGTTGTCAATCCATCTCTTCCTTGGTTAATCTCATGCCGGATCTGGCCTTCCACGTCTAGTAATGATCTTCCTAGGCCACTTTTCACTGTCCATCCTATGGAGGTGGCCATACATTTGTATGATCTTTATTGATAAGCCGCGGTCATAACCATCCGTACGTGCATCTACGTGCTGTATACGTGCAAAAACGTGGGTAAACGTACAAACTATTACTACTTGCTAAGTTGCTGGAATTTCAGAGTAAAAATCACCTCGTCATTTTACACAAACATTTATAACTCGATATAGAATAAAATTACAAGTAATAAGCTGGTAGACACAAAACGTCCGAAGACTAAGCCCCATGTGAATCTTTTAATGGAATTTAATTTGTTTACAATATTGGTGCTAATCTGGTACTCGTGCATTACTTACCTCAAAGGAACATGAGTAATGTTCTAGCTTGGCGGAAAGGTGAGGTATAATTAGGCTGTGTTCATGTGAAGTCAGTGAAGGCGCTTTACATGTGGTTTCCCCCGAAGCCGGTTTCAAGTGGCTCCATCTGAACGCTCCGAAATCACATAGAAAGCTCCTCGATCCCAAACCTCTTCTAGAGGTGGTTTCGAATCGGTTTTTCCGCATCGCGATTTGTGTCTGAACGCAATGTGATTTCAATGTAACTTCGCCTGGTCGTGGATTACGGGGTGACATTTCTTTATTTATATGCAATACCAACTTTTACGTGGCAGCAACTTAAAGAGCAGTAATGGTCAAATAAAGTGTCCGTTCTTCGAGCTTCACCGCCTCAGGCGGGACCACGTCGGCGTTCGGCCGAGATACGCTGGGAGGGGGGCATCAGCAAGCAGGTCGTTGACCCCTGTCATTGATAACATGCCATCTTGCGTGTTTTCATCAAACAACAATGAATGCAGTTTCGTAGAATCGCGATCGGACACGGTTTGCAATGAATGTATGGCACGTGGACCAGATGGACAGAATGCGAGTTACCCGAATCGCGGTTTGGGTGACTTCACATAAACACGGCCTTAGTGATACCTATAAATGGGTAACGTGATAACTACCTTCACTTTGTAAGCTACAGACTGAGAGAACAACGACCTGTAGTAGGCGATCTAAACTAGCAACGTATGCAGACAGGTACATATAATGAAACATAAAACACAGAAGAAACAATTATATACATAAGTTATGTAAGATTATCGAACAGAATAAAATAACCAGCTTGAACACAGAAAAACAACCTATGGCATTTACAACAAAAGTTAACACAGAGAATAACTACTGTAATATTCAAAAATGTTCAACTTAGTAACCGTAAAGACAAATGGTATTAATACACACAAGTTAAGCAAACATGTACATTTCAATTCTTTAAGTTGTACATTTTGCATCAGCTGATAAACTTAATAAAAAATAGGTGAAGGGATTTACTCTTTTTACAAAAGACTTAACGTTGGTATAATGAAGACAATTTAATGTTGCATTTATTTGCGGGACAGCTTCAATAATTACCATAAAATTAACCATACAGCGCAAAAGCACCTCTAGGCCTGGTACTATTTGTACACCACCCAAAAGTAAAGAATGCTACTGAGTCATAAGGCCATGTTGATTTGATTATGTGGATGACATCCTCCGGGAACCCCAAAACTGATGCGCGCGTGCGAATTAAAAAAACGTTTTGCAAAAAAAAAATTGTTTTCATTATGAAATCTACGTGGTCATGAGGGTTGAACAAATGGGACAGAATATGGTTTGGCGAATAATCTAGTCTTCAAGTTCATTTCTTTACAATTTCGTCTTTTTTCGTTTGATTTTGGCATTCTACGACATTGGTATGGTTTTTTGTAACTTACGGTATATTTTTGCTCATTTTGCAACTGTTTTGTACGATTTAATACAGTATGGTTGAAAACTTATTTTTTTTTGAAACGGCCGAAAATTCATGCGCGCGCGGATGTCATCCATATAATCAAATCAACATGGCCTAAATTAAATGTTCAGTCTGCTTGTTTTGCTCACGTAGCTCAAACACTCATCGGATTTCCCTTGTGGTAAAACTGGTTCTTATTCATTTAAGTCCTGCGGATGTTGAGCCACTTGTCCTCTTCGTTGGCGTCTCTTGCCACAGTACAGCAACACGCCACACATACCGACTAACCCCACAGCACAGCCCGCAGAAACTAGGGCGATGTCGAGCGGCTTGGTTTTGTTCCACGAACCTCCTGCATATTAGAATATTATGATTTGTACTTTTAACAATTGTTGGATACGGAAAATAGGCTACAGATCATGAATGAGCTTACTAGAATGAAAAAAAAGGTGCAAGCTTAACAGCAAATGAAGCAATCAAATGATGATGATAATGTACCCGTACCTGCATGATTTGTTGTCTGGTTAGTGGGGCTCTGAGAAACAGTTGTTCCTGGAAGAGTTGTCCGGCGTGCCGTCTGGTAATTGGGGTGTTGAGAAACAGTTGTTCCTGGAAGTGTTGGCGGTTGTGTTATCTGATCAGTGGTGCTCTGAGAAACAGTTGTTCCTGGAAGAGTTGACTGCTGTGCCGTCTGGGTAGTGGGGGGCTGAGAAACAGTTGTTCCTGGAAGAGTTGGCTGTTGTGTCGTCTGGGTAGTGGGGGGCTGAGAAACAGTTGTTCCTGGAAGAGTTGACTGCTGTGTTGTCTGGGTAGTGGGGTGCTGAGAAACAGTTGTTCCTGGAAGAGTTGACTGTTGTGTCAGCCGGGGAGAGGAAGACACCTGTGACTGTGTGGATGTGGCCTGTGCAGTACGGACTGTGGTGCTGGTTGGAGATGTTTCACATCTCATTGTCGTGGGTATATCAGTAGCTGGCTGACTTGAAGCTGGAATTTAAGGGAAAAAAACGACGTGTCATCCATACTGCGTGAAATCTACTATCAATGGTAATACATTTATATCTGCCACAAAAATGTTTTACATACCATTATCTTACCTTCATCTAAATGGCTATGTTTAAAGGAAAGCTCATTACATTTAGACAGAATTTATTCCTTCTTTGCCCTGCTGGTATTAGAATTTAAGACTTGAAATTGGTCATGAAAGTGCTCATACCATGTGCTAAACACGTTTGGCACACACTACCTTATTATTCATTTGAAGATGGGTGATTGAGTGAAATATGCTGCATTACATAATTAGCTCCCGAGCGAATAGGTGTGCAAACAATGTTTTCAGCACTCTCCAAGCAGAGATTATGGGTTGATTGTGACCTTTGTAAAGTTTCCCTTTTTTCTGTCACAATTCTACCATCTAATAGATCCTATCATTTGTGTCTACGGTTTCAGTTTTACCACCTCTGAACTCTAATAAATTCTGCAGTACCGCCTGTGATTGTACCACGACATATACGGCACACAAACACACACACACACCCACAGACACACACAGACACACACACACACACACACACACACACACACACACATGCACACGCACACGCACACACACACACAGTCACACACCGTCACACACACACACACACACACACACACACACACACACACACACACTCACACACACACACACACACACACACACACCGACAACAAATACGTTTATACATATAACGTAATTGGAACGCTCATGGTTGATTCTAGTTAAAACCTATTATAGCCTGTCTAGTTGAAATACT